TCTGAGGACGATTTCCTTCTAAAGGCCCACCGTGCGAGGTATGTCCGATACTAGGTTCGGAACGTTTGCCCGTGTGACGTGGAGGTCATATTCGAATGAAATTAGGACGAGAGTTGTACACATCTCCGACAAAGGTTTTTGTATGTCGGAAAAAAGTTGGTCACAAAACAGAAGAAGGTGGGTGCATGAATACATTAGTAGATGCCGGTGTGTACACCCACCGGAATTTCGGGCAGCCTGTTGAGACCTTGTGGGCCGCAGTTGTGAGCAGGTTGAAGACGTGCCCGAAAGTATAAAAATTGAAGATCATGGGCAGGCCCGACATGGTCTCTTCCATGAATCGGAATGAATGATAATTATCATGGTTGTGCCCTGTACCCACTTTTGTCTACATACATGTATTTCCCAATGGAAAACTTCAGAGTAGAGTATGTGAAAATCGGTCGCTATGAAAAGGCAATGAAAGAGAGACAAATGACGACAGCACGTGCTCCAGCACCAGCCATATTAGAACCAGAACGAACGGCGTCCCATATCTCAGATTGTCACATATATACTTGAACAGCCACACGCGCTATACTCAGCGGTTTAGACTTCTCGCGGACCTGTGTGTCGTTGTTCCAGCGTGCAGCAAGCGTAGCCACGGAGTGTGGACGCGCGATTTTCGTACGGACTGTTAGAGTGAACCGGTCGCAAGATACAATGACTGCTTTTTTTGTGACAGACGAACGGCTCCCCAAACGGTCTCCAGTTCTGAAAACGACACAAACGTCTGTCTGTCAACACAGTGCGATGGAACTAGATTGTTGGAAATATTCGTCGGTCTGAGGCTGGAGATGTATTGTGTACAAAGTTGTACATACAGTAGTTGGGTGCTTCTCCCGCCCCCCACCGGGGCAACCGGGGTAGGCCCGCTAAATATAAGACTTATGAATCTGGAAGAGAGTGCTTGAATATATATATATGCATACTTTCTTCAGTGTTGTAAATATGTAGGTCTGTTGTAGCATCGAGTAGGTATTTACTGTAGCTACTGGGCTGGTGCACGATGCACATTCAATTCGAGGTGTTGCGATCTATTCCGGTAAGTGCGTCGTCACCACTTGGTGATGGTGGGGGGTAAATTTGCATGCCCTGATACCTGGCCACACACGGAGTCCGCGCGTCAGTCATGTAGATAAGGTCTGCACTACGTAGTAGGCTAGGTTAGGAGGACGTTCGATTGCGTCCTCGCCACTTAGGCTCGCTATCAGAAGAAAAAGTAATGGAACAGTCGGTCCTTTAAAAAAATGCACAGAGGCATGTCGACGGGTTTTTTCACGTTTCCGTGAAAAAAGCAAACATTTGTTTTTCGGTACGGCTAAATACCCCACCGGTGGGGTATTTACGGCGGGGAATTTTTAAATACCTCACCGGTGGGGAATTTTCTCATAGGCCCCAACGGTGGGGCGGTTAACGCTTAATAAACACCCCACCACCTGTAGCTCGCTTTGCAATACTCCAATGAGCACAGGACTTCAACGAGCGTGTTGCGGCGTTGCAGGGGTATCATTGGATCCATCGTGAGGCCGAAACAGCACAGTTTTGGTGGTCCCACGGTTGGTGGGGAACATACGCCGCGACCCCACCGGTGTGGTAGATAACGTTATGGACCCGACGTGGAAGGTTGTGTTGTACAAGCTGGTGTTTTGTCAGAACGGTTAGAAAGATCAAAGGAGGCACCGTAGGTAAGAGAGAATTGATAGATAGGTAGGCATGTGTAACGGAAAGAAAACAAAAAGAAAGAGATGCACCTTGCTCACAACAGAAGAAACATCTGAACGAAAGAGCAAGACAACAAACAAACAAGAGGAGGAGTAGAAGAGAGACAGAGGAGGAAGAAGAAGGAAGCGAGTGTACGGAAGGGAGGAGACAGACAGAGAAAGAGAGCAAGAGCATCGTCGGTTCGTTTTTTTTCAACGTCGGCCGACCCGGCGCTTGAGCGCGGGGGCCGGGATCCTGCTGCCGAGCGCGGGATCCCATGCCGAATACGGTAAGGCTTGGGACGTTGACACCGATGCGGCGCCGCGACGAGGAGGAGGGAGAGCAAGGCGGATGGCGGGGCCAAGGAAGGGGAGAGGACGGGGGCTCGCCGCAGAGGGGCGGAGGTGAGAGGAGGAGGTCGTTGAGCCAGGGTGAGCGACGGGTGACCAGCGTAGAAGGCATGGGGACTTTGAGGATTGAGTCACGCCTATCGCCGTCCGTGTATTCAGGGGGGAGAGCTCGCCACTCAAGGCCTAGGCAGACGCGTTCCAATTCACCAATGGTAGCTAGGCGCGACCAGTCTACTTACGTCAGTCGCCGGGGTCCGTCACGTACGCAGCATGTCCCGTCCTCACAAGGCCACCGCAACGATTCCCGCGCGCACGGCGGGAG